CCTGGCCCTGCTAGGCAGTGGAGATCCAAAACAATGGGCACTCACTGGAGCTCTGTGAAGATCTGTTGAATGAGTGACGAAATGTGTGGTGAACTGTTCCCTACTTACAGGGTTCCCTGCTTTGCCTAGCCTGTCAGGCTTGGGTATGAGCAGATAGCCTGGATTGGATTTCATGAGGGCTTTGTGCCCACTCTGGATACTACCGGAAGATGCATAATCTCTTTTAGACTTCCTGGGTCATCACTGAAAGGCCAGAGGAAAGAATTTGAGCAGTAAATCGAAGCATGTGCAGAGTGACATAGTCTGGGCATAGATAACAGTACCTGACCCCTCAAATTCCCTAAAGTTGACATGACAGCTTGTGCATCATGGTTTGGTACAGAGATGACTGAAGAGACAGTGGTTGCTCCTCTGGTTGCTGGACACCTCTTGAATGGGCTGTGATGACTAGAGAGCACGCTCTGTCCTGTTCACCTGAAGGTGCTCCTAGACTAGCAGAAGCAGAGGCAGCAGCTGGGCCTGACTGGAGAGCTGGAGGGACTGGGTGCAGGGGACTTCTAGGCCAGCAGTCTCTGTGTTGTGCTCTGAGGGGCTCTGGTGGCAGGAACCTAGTCCTGGGTTCCAGCTCTACCAGGGTGCAGCCTGAGGAACTCAGCTTTCCTGCTTTATTGGCTTGCCTTGCCACAAAGGATTTCTTGTGTGTTAAAGATATGAATAGCTTAAAACCAAAAACCAAAAAACTACTAATTTAAACCACTAATCAAATCTTTTGTTTTACAAATTTAGAAAATAAAATTAGGCCCCAGGGACTAAATGTCTCTCCCATAGTCCAGAAACCAGACTGAAACTGAGCTAGTAGCAAAACCCATTCTCCTGTATCCCAACTCCCAGTTCAGGTTCCTCTTCACTAGCTGCCACCCAGCTGCATAGTTGAGGACATTGAATTGAGGGAACCTGGGGTAGAGGGTTGGCACTCAGGCATCGCTGGCTTCTACATGATTCCACCACAGGGAAAGCATCTTAACCATGTATGATCCATAGAAAAGTGATTGCTAAACTCCTTAAGTTGTCATTCAACAAATATCTATCTAGCACCTACCACATGCTAGACAAATCCTAGAGACACAGCTGCCTCTGCCCTCATAGAACTAAATGTCTTGAAAGAGATACTGACCCTGATCTGATTTTTTAAAAATACATAATTATGCAAATAAATCATATTATATATAATTACAAAGTATGGTATAAAAGGAAAAGTACAAGATGCTGTAAGAGCATATAAAAGGAGGACTTGGCCAAGTCTAGAGGATCATCAGTGAGTGTTTCCCTGATAGACTAACATTAGGGCCAAGATCAGAAAGATGTCCAGGAGTTAACTTGGTCAATAATCATTGTTAATCTTTATTAAGAATTTCCCTTGAGTCGAGTCAGGCTTCACTTGCTGCATTAACTTCCTTAATCCCCACAATAACTCTGTAAGATAGGTGCTTTTACTTTTTTTCCACTTTACAGATGAATAAACAAGAAGTAAAAAGATGTAGCTAATTCACATGTAGCCCTCTGGCTTCAGAAGCTCTTTACCCCATAAGGTTCCTGGGCACATGGGTGTGATCTAGGAATGGGAAGAGGCTAAGAATGCTGAAGGGCAGGCTGAATGTTCTAGATGAAGCTGGTGCGATAAGGGCCACATGATGTAGGTCTTATAGGTTAGGATATTCATGTTAAAACTGTTAATGTTTTTGAAATATCTAAAACCAGGAAGTGCACGATCATATTTAAGTTTGGAGTGTGCACTTCCAAGTAATTTAAAAGAGTCAAGTCCCTTAGAAGCAATCATGTTAAATAACCTAATAACCAATCCTTTTTATCCAGTCCCCTTATGTGGTCCCAGTTCAGGAATTCTTAAACCAGTTCTTGTGTTAAAATCATAGCATGGCTGCCTTACAACATTCTATACTTCAGTCCATTGAAAACCACATCAGGCCAGGTGGGTGACTCATGCCTATAAACCCAACACTTTTGGAGGCCAAGGCGAGAGGATTGCTTGAGCCCAGGAATTGGAGACCACTGAACTCTAGCCTGGCAACAGAATGAGACCCTGTTGAAAGAAAGAAAAGGAAGAGAGAAAAAAGAGGAAGGGAGGAGGGAGAAAAGGAAAAGAGGGAGGGAGGGAAGGTGGAAGGAAGAAAAAAAAGAGAGAGAGAAAGAGAAAGAAAAGGCTGCTCCCTGGCCCTTCTGTTTATTACCATGTGACAGCAGGAGGGCAATTGTCCAGACCCACACTTAGGTTCACCACATTCCTTGGCTCCCAGAACAGAGTCCTTTGAGGCTCTTTCAAGCACCCACACCATGCTGGGAAATGAAGCCTTTATAAACTCCAGATGCCAGTCCACAACTCCACAGCCCCTTTGGATTTGGTTCCTGGATGAATTCTCGGCTAGATGACTGGAACAGAGTTCTGGTGAACATCTTCCTTCCTACCAAGATGACAAGTCAGATGTGTAGCTCTTTGTGGGAAAAATATTCTGGGCACGAATATCTTCAGCTGAACAGCACGGAATGGCGTAGAAAATGTGAAACCCTGGACTGGTTTCTGTGTCAGTGGTTTCCTGGGATTGCTGAGTTGAAGGGGAGCAGAAAGAGCTCAGCTGTGGAGGAGGCAGAGATTAGCCAAACCAGACCAGCTGCATGGTTAGCATCTTCCTTTTTCCTTGTTCCTGATTAAGCCCATTTAATATGCCAATGACAAAAGGATCATGAAGGTCTTTCCAAATGAGTGAATGTTTTCTGGAGCTGAGATTGCTGGCTCCTATTTGCAGAGTGCATGCTGAGGCATCTAACCGGATTACTGGATTCCTAACTTTCACATTCTTTCTAAGCTCAGATATTTCTACGAAAGGCAGAAAGATAAAGGCCAAAAAAGATCAGGCTTTCCTAGCTCTTGGGTTTCCAGGAAACTGACAGACTCCTGATACCTGCAACTAGTGCCTTCTCTCCCTGGGCGGGTTGTTCTCCGCCACCTTGTGGACATTTGGGGAACTGCACAGTCCCAAGCATCTATGATCAGAGGACGAACTGACAGAGGCTGCCTTATATAACCACCTGGTCCCCTGAAGTAAAGACCAGGCACCAGGCTTGCCCAAAGGAGGACCAGCACAGAGCAGAATGAGGCTGAGTAGGATGTTAACCTTCCATGCTGGTCTTCCATGCATCACGTTATCTGCCACTGTCACAGACAACTCTACATCCACTACAGATGGAGATGGAACAAAGGCTTTCACTGGATCTCAAGTTGCGTGCTTCTGTAAAAGTAAAGTTCCAAGACCTTATTCTTTTTTTTCCCAGTGAGAGCAAGAAAACTGGACGTTAATATTGGCAACAACTATTTCCTGCTTGTGAAGCATTAGTATTTGCAGTGCTTCTGCCCTGTGGTTATTGAGCTGAAAGGGGGGCCGCTCTTGGCACAGGAGCATGGCAGGATTGGGTTCTTCATAACATGTTACCCAACTTGTCTTATGTGAAAAGAGAAGCCCAGAAAGAGCTTGGAACACAAATATGCAAATCCTGGGTTTGCATTTGATTTGGTAAGTGGCCTTTCACAACCAGCTTGCAGACTTTAGGAAAAAAAAAAAAAAAATACATGGTAGGCTTGTGGGTAGTGGAGAAAACGTAAGCTCCAATACCTCACAGCCTGGGTTTTCAGTCTGCCTCCTCCGAACCCTCATCACGTACCAGCTGTGTGACCTTGGGTACTCTGTCTAGGACAATCCATTTTCTTGTCTGCAGTGTACAGATAATAGAGGACCTGTACCATGGGAAGCTTGGAGGACTAAATGAGATTAAGCCCAGGGCCTGACTCATGGCTGATTCTCATAACAGGTCCTTGTGTGTAATCAACATTTGCTGAAGTTCTCTGGACCCTCTGTGAATATCTAATAGGAATGACTAGCCATGGGTATGAAGAGGGAGATGATAGAAACAGTAATGTGGTCAACTGAATCCATCCCATAGTCTCTAATTTGAAACAGCTGAACTGTGCCATAGTCTCCCTGGAGGTAAGATGTAAGCCACAGAGTTCCTGAAGCATGTCTACAGTTAGGGAACTTAAATGTGCCAAGTGATTAAAGGCTGGGCTGCCTGCTCCCTGTATGGTGACACTCTCCACCCTCCTGCATACTCTCCACTACTCCAGGCAGTGGTGGGCCTTCTAGCCTCTGGGTGATGAGCAGCTCCCACATCTCCCCTTTGAGACAGAGGCCTGCAGAACCTGACCAGTGTGATGGCTGGCTGGGATCAGAAGTGTGCATGCTGGTTGGCCCTCAGGGTGAATGTGGCTCTTCTAAAAGACACCTGAAGGGATGCAAAATTTAGCAGCAAATCCCCAAAACAGCTCTTTGTCATCTCTGCATCTTCTACTAAAGATTTTAAGCTCTGAAGTATATGTCTGGGGTTTCTAGAGATTGCTATTTCCTTATAAGGGGAAAAAATGCACTCTTATTGTATATTTATTGAGCACCTACAATATGCCAGGCACCCAGCTAGGGAGTTTAGATATTTAATCCTCTCAACACCCCTGTAAAATAGGGATTGTTTAAAATGGATTTCATTTCAAATGAATTTCTCCCACTTTATAGGCAAGGAAACTGAAGTACAGTATGGTAAAGCGGCTTGGCTAATCCACCTGGCTAGTGAGAATGGAGCCACAGTGAGCCTGGAGGATACTCTTAACAGTGTTTCATCTTTGTGTGCCCCACAGCACAGGCACAATGCCCGAGTCTGAGGAAGAGCTTGCTGAGTTGAGAATGGTAGGATTCATATACCAAAAAGGCATTCGGAAATGGGCAAATGCCCAGACAGGGCCCTGAAAGACTAGCTATGTAGAACAACAGATGGCGAATCATCAGTTTAAAACTCTGTCATCCAGCCAGTGGCCTGCTGGCCTACAGCCAGCCATGTATGTACAAGGGCTGACTTGATCAGCTGTGGCTCTTTTATTTCAGGCAATCCACCTTCCAAAGAGGTGCCTGCTGGGAAGTACCCATTCATAGTCACTTCTGATGATGGGCGGAAGGTTCCTGTAGTCCAGGCCTATGCTTTTGGCAAATACCTAGGCTATCTGAAGATCGAGTTTGATGAAAGAGGAAACGTCATCTCTTCCCATGGAAATCCCATTCTTCTAAACAGCAGCATTCCTGAAGGTAAGTGAAGTTCAGGGGAATGTTCCACCAATCTAAAATTTAGATAGCGGATATTTTTGTCCTTCTCATTCTTTCCTTTAATGTTTCAGGAAAAGACTATAATACTGTTGAAGAATTTATCTTCTTCCTTGAGTTTGCCCTCTTCATGGATAGATTTAAAACACACCCAAATGCCAAAAGCCCCACTTGCTTCTTCAAGTCTTCTCAGCATCAGATTACATGCATCACTGCTTCCTCTGCCTTTTAAAATCTTGATCCTGACATGCAAAAGCCACTCTCAGCTTGTGTTTACAGGAGAGATGATAACTGAAGTAAAGGGGTTCAAATTGGGCAGAGCAGAGCTCAAGTCCTGGCCCCCCAACTAGAGGCAGCGTGCCTTGGGCAAGTTGCCCAATCTCATGGGCATCAGTTTCTTTATCAAATGAGGGAGTACCTTATTTTTATGTCTGCGTCTCAGAATAAAAGTACATTTTTCTATCATTGATTTTTGTATGTATCCAGAACACACTTCTGTGCTTGTTTCTCACCTTCCCTTTTCTGTTGACTATGATCACATCAGGAAGGTGCGGTGCATAGCACCCAGGGGAGCCTGTAGTCACAACACAAGCCTCTCAGTAGCCAGATGGGAAAGGGGCCCAGGACGACGCTGACAGCGATAGCCCAGCTGCACCTCAGCAGGCCCTTTATAACTGCCCCTGGGCCTTTCAGAGCTCCTACCACCACCACTAACGCTGTCCCAGGTGGGCCAATGGGTAGCTCATACAGCTGTGGTGAGTTGGTAGATGTTCAGCATATTCTTAAATTAAGATGCATTCCAGGTCTTATTACCAGGAAACAAAATGAAGTTTCTAAGGAAATTTCATGGTCAAAACCAAAATGCACACAAATATGGTAAAGAAATATGTTCTCACAGCAAGTAACATAGATGATGTTTCATTCCTTTTCCAGAATTTAGCCCAGTGTGAGATTTGCTTTAATTGTAGGCTACCTTCTTTTCTTTCTTCTAGATCCAAGCATAAAAGCAGACATTAACAAATGGAGAATAAAATTGGACAATTATTCTACCCAGGAATTGGGGAAAACAATTGTCTATCTGGATGGCTCCTCTCAATCGTGCCGCTTTAGAGAATGCAACATGGGCAACCTGATTTGTGATGCTATGGTAAGTCATCTGCAGGAGTGGACATATGCTAGGAAGGAAGAGGGAAGAGGAAGGAAGGATGTGAGAAGGGATAGACTGATAGCTACAGAATGAGGGATTTCAAAACATTTTTGGCCAGGGTGGTGGCATGTGCCTATAGTCCCAGCTACTCAGGAGGCTTGGGTGGGAGGATGGCTTGAGCCCAGGAGGCTGCAGTGAGCTATAATTGCACCACTGCACTCCAGCCTGGACAACAGAGTGAGACTCTGTCTCTAAAATTAAATAAATATGAAAAATATATAAAACATTAGTGCCTAAACAAAGGTCTGATGTTTGTAGCTTCATACTCAGTACCTTCTTAAGGTGTTGGAAGGAGATCAGGTAACAACCAACATACTGCTTTACAAGAACTAAAACCTTTATTTTAAGGTGTTCTTAGATGTCTGAATTTTGGATGTTGCTTTCCTTTTGTAAGATGATGCAAATGCACAAACTCTGCTACCCTGGAGATATCAACATAATAGATAAAAGCATATCTGCTTGGATCCAACTTGGCCAGACTGTTTTTCCCTCATCAGTTCACTTGACTCCAGAGAACCCTGGCCTTGTGTGACAGGAACTTCTTTCACAGGCACAGAAAGTCAACACACAGTTTTAATGGTAATAACAAGTCCCATGGCTGAGCAAGATCACCTATGAAGAACAAGCCCCTGTCTACTTGTCTGCAGGCAGAATGGCCATGGTAGCTTTCTGGGGGCCTTACTGAGCCAAGGTCTCCTATGTCGGACTACCACTTTCACGGGCTCACAGCCTGGACCCAGGGAAGTCATTTCTGTCAGTGCTTGGCATGCATTGCCCAGTGCCCAGGATACAACTGCACTCAATAAATGTTTGCCATGTAAATGACAACAATCATGCTCATGCCAAGACCAGACTGCTGGTGTCTCCTCAGCATCATGCAGTCAATGCCAGAGAAGTAGTTAAGGAGAAGCTGGTATATAAATGTTAAGAGAAGTCTGAAGGGAAACAACCCAGGCTGTTGGCAGTGCTTATCCCTCTGTTAAAGAGGCTAGAACAAAGGAGAGCTTTTGCTATTTATTTATTTATTTATTTATTTATTTATTTATTTATTGAGACGGAGTCTTGCTCTGTCGCCCAGGCTGGAGTGCAGTGATATGATCTCAGCTCACTGCAACCTCCTTCTCTCGGGTTCAAGCAATTCTTCTGCTTCAGCCTCCCAACTTGCTGGGATTAGAGGTGTCCACTACCATGCCCAGCTAATTTTTGTATTTTTAGTAGAGATGGGGTTTCACCATGTTGGCTAGCTGGTCTCGAACTCCTGACCTTAGGTGATCCACCTGCCTCAGCCTCTCAAAGTGCTGGGATTACAGGTGTGAGCCACCATGCCTGGCTTTTTTTTTTTTCCTCCTAAATGAGAATGTATTCATTTTATTTCTAATAGCTAAACATATATTTTATAAAAGAAAAGAATGGATGTGATTCTCCCCAGTTTTAAAAGGCTGTCCCTGTCTTTCCAAAATTGCCAACTTGGGAATCAGCTGGAGACATAGACATGGAGGCCAGGTTCTCTTTGGCATGAGATCTGGTGTTGAGCAGGCTCTAGGCCAAGCCCTCAGAATCAGGCAGAGGGCATGGCCTGCCCTGGAGAAGCCTGTGCAGGAGCGGCTCTGAAGGCCACCTTGCATGGGAGGCCCAGTCCCGACACCAGGACTACAACCGAGAGACCATTTTGCTAAGGCCACCTGGCCTGACAGTATGGGAGTTTCAGGAGGGGGAACTAAGAGTTTGACATGGACTGGTAACAGTGTATTTTTATTTCTGGGAGTGTAAAACTAATTCTAATTATAGTTGAGAAATTCCTGGGAACACAGTAGCAGGGGAAAAGTAGCTTTATTTCCTCAGGAGAGCTAACCAGATTCCTGGAGCTGATCCTAAGGAAGAAGAACCAGAGTAACTAGTGTAAATCTGTGCTATTGTTTCAGATTAACAACAATCTCAGACACGCTGATGAAATGTTCTGGAACCATGTATCCATGTGCATTTTAAATGGAGGTGGTATCCGGTCGCCCATTGATGAGCGCAACAATGGTATGCTCCCAGGCCCAGCTCCTCAGTGTGTCATGTTCTCTCTCTGATCTTTTTCTGCTGTGGTTCTTGCCTTGAACACACCCATGTGCAGCCTCAGTTCATCTCTGCTGCCAGCCATGTACCAGAATGTCATTCCTTTAAGTTAGGGTTAGCCATCCTAGCCCGAAGGACACATACAAGCTTACATGTATTCACACACAGAAGCTGCAGCTGTTGGTGGAACTCAAGCTTGGTCTGAACTTCTGATTTACAAAGCTATACTAGTTGTTTCTGATTTATGCAAAATATCAACAGTCTCCACCTTGGCATCTGAAAAGAGACAAAAATCACCAGTCTTCTGTCCTGAAAAAGACATACCACTGGATTAAAATGTTACCTTAGTATATTTACAGCTATCCAAGATTATATCATATGGCAAAACAAATCAACTACACAAATACTCAAGACACTCTTGTAGTCCTCCCTGATTTACTGTGAAAACCAATCGGTTATCAGTATAAGGCCCCAAACGCATCCCATTGTCAGACAACAGGGACAGGTTGCAGGGACACACTGTTTGTCTGGAGGAACTGAACTCTGCAAAACAAACTACTGGAGATCCAGCCCCAAGCTAGCAGATCTAAGACTGAGCATGGTGACCTTCTGAGGCACAGTCATTTGTGAGCTCCTGCCACCTTGCCCAGTGGTGGAGTGCAGGGTCAGAGGCCTCCTAAACTCATTCCCTCCCTAAGTGTCAGGAACCACTTAGACATAGCTGATGATGCTCTATAAGCCTCCCCATGTCCCCTTCATTTCTTCCCCCAGTGCTGAGGGAAACTGGTCATGGTGTTAGCATTTTCTCAAGCTATTTTCCTTCTTGCCTCATCTGTGACTACCCTCAGGCACAATTACCTGGGAGAACCTGGCTGCTGTATTGCCCTTTGGAGGTACATTTGACCTGGTCCAGTTAAAAGGTTCCACCCTGAAGAAGGCCTTTGAGCACAGCGTGCACCGCTATGGCCAGTCCACTGGAGAGTTCCTGCAGGTGGGCGGTAAGTCACCCATCCTGTAGGGCTGGCCCATCCAAAGTGACATGGGATTTCCTGCTGGTTGGCTCAGCTTCCCCCTCACCAAAATTCATGTGGTCAGGTTGGTTTGGATTTTTCCAACACCAATACCTCATCCCTTAGTGGCTGTGGACTCTCAGAGCCACTGAGATTAGATTGGGGTCAAAGCCCCAAAGCCCTGACAATAAGCAGTATTTGCCAAGTCTGATTTGGACATCAGATGGGTCCTCTAAGCAGGTCAGCTGCTTTGAGGTCTAGTTTCTAATAAAATCTTAGTTATTTAAGCATTCAATATTCTTTTTTTAAAAAAAAAAAAGTCCTCTCCTTTGTTCTACTCATGGTTGCCTGGAACTATGCCAAGATTTAAAGGAATGCTGTCCAATCTGTATTAACCAGGATGATTCCTGGAAGGAGCAGCCTACTGCACAGACACACCTTAACGCCTGGTTCTAGTCCCACTGTGACCTGGGGCAAGTTCTCAACCCCTCTGGGCACAGGGAGAAAACCTTTCCTGTTTATCTCATGGGCTGTAGTGAAAGTTGAACGGAAATAAGTGTTTCCTAAATTGCCAAGGGCTTCTGAAACACTTTTGTTAATAATTCCACAGTCCAGTGAATTAATCCTTTAAAAGTAATCTTAGTTTACCTGGAAACCATAATCTGGCTTCATTTTTTTAACCTTAGGTTGTGGTCCCGCTTGATAGATAGAATTGCTTTGCTGAGTTCTCCCTCTGCAGAACACATTGCTGTTGAGATTGAAGGGCTACAGAAGGCAGTGGGGCCCTATCCTACTGCCTATGGGGCAACCCAAACATCCTCCATTTTCCCAGAAGGGAGTTGAGGGAAAAGCAGTTTTCTGATGCTCTAGCAAAGCACTGCATAGCTCTATGCCTTGTGAAAGTCACCCAATCCCAAGTGATTACCATTTAATGGTCTTCAACATTGTAAAATGCTCTGTGCCTCTGATCTGTTTTTCACTTTCTAAGGCCATTGAATCAATTTAGTAGGCCAATTCAGCATTTTAAGGGAAAAACAGAAAAAGATGTGGTTTCTCCATGTAGAGTCACCCTTTACCCATTCTGGTCCAAAGCTGGTTTTCCTTCCAGTGGTTCTCCTATGTCCTGGAAGGAATCATGATAAAGGGTAGCTGCAATGTCACAATTCTCTTGATAAAATTTCACTCAAGTTTAAGCCAAAGGAAAAACCACAGCCCCATGCCCCAATTCTAGAGTTTGACCAAAATTCCTTAGGAAACAGAAATCTCCCTTTGGATCTGGTGAAAACAGACTAATTTCTTTTCTAGGAATCCATGTGGTATATGATCTTTCCCGAAAACCTGGAGACAGGGTAGTCAAATTAGATGTTCTTTGCACCAAGTGTCGAGTGCCCAGTTATGACCCTCTCAAAATGGATGAGATATATAAGGTGATCCTCCCAAACTTCCTGGCCAATGGTGGAGATGGATTCCAGATGATAAAAGATGAATTATTAAGACATGACTCTGGTAAGCATGAGTGTCTCTTCCTTTCTCTAAAGAACAACAAAATTGGGCCATGAAGGGGAGCTACTAGTGGTGCCAGGAGGGCAAAGTGACTCCCTGTTTTGCTGACTCCCTCCTGCTTTGCTTGTTGGAAAGCAGCAGCACAGCACAGCAGAGAGGAGTATGTACCCTGTCACTCCCCGAGCACAAACATGCCTTCATCCAACCCCAGAGAGAAACCATTTGTAAATCGAAAATGTTTTCAAATCCTTTTAACCACATCTAAGCACCTATTTAAATTGTGAAATATAAATGAGTTTTGCATTTACAGAAAAATCACACCTCTGGAATTTTAGAATACAGAAAACCATCACATTAAATCATTTAAATTTTCTTTCTTGAAGAAGCTTTCTGTGTGAATCGGTCAGGTAGAAATGGATGGGGTAAGCACCTCCCTTTCAGCACAGTGGGTTGGTGGTACAAATCATAGGAATAACCATACTTGATGTCAGTTGGTATTTCTGGCAGCATTGAGGGACATTATATGCCAGTCTCACTTTTAGAAATCCTGTTGAGTCACATTATGTGCATACAGACCACTGACATAGAACACACTTCCCCTTCCTTTTCCTAGGGCAGAGACCAGCATGCTTACAAGACACACAGGTAGCTTCTTGGCATTTCTGGGAAGTTCCACCAGGATCTTCTTCAGTCTTATCATGCTGGACCTGTCATTTTAGCTACTTATTCCAAGGAGGGTGGAGGGCAGGACCAGACCAAAGGAGGCAGCCCTTTCTGGGAGGGAAGGTGCTGGCTTCTTCTGTCCCTTCCGTGACAGAAGATGGAAGGGCAAGCGTAAAAGCCCTATGAGACAAAGAGGTTGATAGTCATCAGCTGTCCACCACTCAAGCCTAGACTGATGGATGTTAGAAAGAGGAGCTCATGCAGAAGGATAAGGAAGCCCTGGACCTAAGGGTTCTCAACACTGGTTATACATTAGAATCACTTCAGGAGCATTTTAAATTAAATACCAATGGCTCAGCCGCATCTCTTAAGAGATTCCAAGTTAATTGGATTGGGGCTAAACTCTTTTTCAGTGATTCTAGTGTATACCCAGAGGTGAAAATCACTGAAGAGAGAAGGGTTCTTAAGTACCGGAGTGATATTTTTAAAATTAAATTCTGTTGGGTCCCCCATGGGTTTGTTGTAGCTATAGGCAATTAGCATTTATCCTCTCCTCTCTTTGGTAAAGGAAACCCCCCTAAGTCCCATCATCATCATCAATTACGTGAAAATAATTATTGGGGAGGCAAACAAAAGGAAGCCACCCTTGTTCTGGAGTGGTTCAAAGACTATGATGTCAATGACCTCTTTCTGGTAATCTCATAGCTGAGGCAACTCTACTTCCCCCAATTACCCAATATTGAACAACAGACACATTTTACATCGGGAGCATGAAAAAGCAATCAAATTCTTTGTACTTATGATCACCAGCGTTCCTGTCTTCTGTGACACTTTACCCCTGCTTATGAAATAGCTTCCCTTTTATAATTACAAAGGACTACCTTACTATTGATTGACAATTACCTTTTCTGTAGTTAAAATAATGTATATGTTTTTCTAGGTGATCAAGATATCAATGTGGTTTCTACATATATCTCAAAAATGAAAGTAATTTATCCAGCAGTTGAAGGTCGGATCAAGTTTTCCACAGGAAGTCATTGCCATGGAAGCTTTTCTTTAATATTTCTTTCATTTTGTGCAGTGATCTTTGTTTTATACCAATAGCCAAAAATTCTCCTTGCCTTTAATGTGTGAAACTGCATTTTTTCAAGTGAGATTCAAATCTGCCTTTTAGGACCTGGCTTTGTGACAGCAAAAACCATCTTTACAGGCTCCTAGAAGCTGAAGGTTAGAGCATTATAAAATGAACAGACTGACATGATTACTCAGGGTCAGCAACCTAGTGAGTTAGAAAAAAAATTAACATAGGGCCCTATAAGGAGAAAGCCAACTATATTTAGTTTATATGTCCAAATTTTAATAAAATTGTACTAACAATTTTAAACCATATTTTTCTTCCTCAGATCCACTTCTAATCCATCAAAAAGCTTATGTTTACATAAAATTTTATCATTCACAAGGAGTTTTAAGTACATTGTCTCATTTGATATCCACAACTTGCTTTTGGTAGGAAAGAGATGTTTTTCCCACTTACCAGATGAAAAAACTGAAGCTCAGAAAGGGTTGACTTGGCCATACAGCTAATGCTGACAGATCCAAGACCTAAACCTAGGTCTTTTGAACTCAAGTCCAGCACTCTCAACTATATCAAGTTACTGTTCAGAATGATACTTAATATCTCCTCTCTTCATAATTATCAATAGCCCCAAGCTCATGGATGACAAATTTCTGCTTTATTTCTTGTGTCTATTTTTTCACTGTTTAGCTCCTGTTATAATAGCAAGTTTAATAATATAAACACAGGATACCATTCTGTCTTGCAACACCCATGTGCCTTTGATGAGTCAGGTAGCAAGCTGTAGTAGATAATGAGAAAGGCCAGAGGCTGCAAAAGACAGTCAAAGGACGGGGAGAAAGGAAAGGGAAGAATAGGACACCAGGACTTGTTTATATTATAAAAGAGCAAGAGATAAAGAGCATTTACATGTTAAACAGGTATTTTGTTAAGCAAAGTGCCCGATGCATGGCATTAACTGTTATTTTATGAGATTCTATCAGCTCTGCCTCTGTCCCCTTTCTTCTTCCTAACATGAAGGTATCATGAGAAGAACCTTCTAAGATAAGCTGTAATTCTAAACCTACACCTTTCCCTCTCCAGCAAGATGCCAGCACTGCACTCATTCTATTCATACCACACACACCTAGTTATGGAATGTCCAGAGTTCTCGAAGACATGACTTTAGGAAGAGGTATACATTTTTGAAGTCACTCTGTCTCCAAATCTGAACAGTCACTGTAAATCATTCTTAAGTCCAGATATGAGAACTCCTCTGAGTGGGTGGTCAGCAAATACCCATGCTGATGAAATGACTTAGGCCCAAAGAACAAATACTTAAGATGGGAGTGGAACAATATGAGCCTGCTCAGCTCTGCATTAAGTAATTCAAGAAACGGGAAGCTTCACCTTAAAGTGTGCAAATGGCAGCTAGAGGTTTGGATAGGGAGTATGTTTGTTTCTTAGTGTTTACAAATATTAAGTACTTTTGATACAAAACATACTTTTAAACCTCATAATCTTTTTATAAAAGTTGTTGCAGTAAAATAATAGCCTCAGTTCTATGCATATATGGATTAGCTATAAAAATGTCAGTAAGATTGTACAAGGAAAATTAGAGAAAGGTACATTTAGGGTTTACTTTTTATGCTTGGCCAGTAAAAAAAGGTAAATCTTATCAGAATTTTTTAAATAACTTTTTTTAAGTTCCCTAAATGTGTGTGTGTATTGTGCAGTGGTATAAGAAATGACTTTGAACCACTTTGCAATTGTAGATTCCCAACAATAAAACTGAAGATATGCTCTTTAGTCTTTGATAGTTATTTCTTCTCTCATTCAAACACCTGCAACTCAAGACAATATGACTGAAGGAAAACTCTGACAGATTTTCACAGGTATCATTTCTTTTGATCATAAGCCACTTACCATCTGATAACCCTCCATCCCCCCTCACACCCCTAAAATGAGAAGAAAAATGTATCCAATTTTTAAGTAGGAGAGAAAAGTGAGTGGTATTTTAAGGAAGACTACTAAATTTGGTGGCTTTGACATACAGAATCTGATATAAAAATGGTTTTGAGGCCAGTACTGATTCCTACAAATAAAAACTTCCAAGTTAATGTTGAGGATTTTAATTTACCTGTACTGGCTGTGTGCCCAAGAATCTTCCTCAAGTATACTAATAACACAATGAGTTGGTTTCATTATACCTCAATTAGTCAGACACATAAAAACCATGTTAGCTGTCTTTGTTTGGGCTATTAGTCCATTCTCATGCTGCTAACAAAGACATACCTGAGACTAGGTAATTTATAAAGAAAAAGAGGTTTAATGGACTTACAGTTCCACATGGCTGGCAAGGCCTTACAATCATGGCAGAAGGCAGAGAAGGAACAAAGACACATCTTACATGGAGGCAGGCAAGAGAGTGCGTGGAGGGTAACTGCCCTTTATGAAACCATTTCACTATCAAGAGAACAGCATGGGAAACATCTGCCCCCATGATTCAATTACTTCACACTGGGTCCCTCCCATGACACATGGGGATTATGGGAGCTACAATTCAAGATGAGATTTGGGTGGGGACACAGCCAAACCATATCATTCTGCCCCTGGCCCCTCCCACATATCATGTCCTCACATTTCAAAACCAGTCATGCCTTCCCAACAGTTCCCCAAAGTCTTAACTCATTCCAGCATTAACTCAAAAGCCCACAGTCCAAAGTCTCATCTGAGACAAGGCAAATCCCTTCCACCTATGAGCCTGTAAAATCAAAAGCAAGCTAGTTATTTCCTAGATACAATGGCAGTACAGGCATTGGGTAAATACAGCCATTCTAAAAGGGAGAAATTGGCCAAAACAAAGGGGCTACAGGCCCCATACACGTCCAAAATCCAGCAGGGCAGTCAAATCTTAAAGCTACAAAATGACCTCCTTTGACTCCACATCTCACATCCAGGTCATGCTGATGCAAGAGGTTGGTTCCCATAGTCTTGAGCAGCTATGTCCCTGTGGCTTTTCAGAGTATAGCCACCCCCACCCCACTCCCGGCCTCCTGGTTGCTTTCATGAACTGGCGTTGAGTGCCTGTGGCTTTTCCAGGTACATGGTACAAGCTGTTGGTGAATCTACCATTCTCACAGCCCCCTTCTCATAGCTCCTCTTCTCATGGCTCCATTAGGCAGTGCCCCAGTGGGCCCTCTTCACACAGCTCCATTAGGCAGTGCCCCAGTGGGAACTCTGTGTGTGGGGTCCAACCCCACACTTCCATTCAGCACTGCCCAAGCAGAGGCTCTCTCTGAGGGCCCTGCCCCTGCAGTAAACTTCTGCCTGGACATCCAGGTGTTTCCATACATCCTCTGAAATCTAGGAGGAGGTTCCCAAATCTCAATTCTTGATTTCTGTGCACCTGCAGGCTCAACACCACATGGAAGCTGCCAAGGCTTGGGGTTTGCACCCTCTGAAGGCATGGCCCAAGCCATACCTTGGCCCCCTTTAGCCACGGTTGGAGCTAAAGCAGCTGGGATGCAGGGCACCAAGTCCCTAGTCGGGACACAGCAGAGGGTGCCTGGACCTGGCCCAGGGAGCTATTTTTCCTTGTAGGCCTCTGGGCCTGTGATGGGAGGGGCTGCCATGAAGGTCTCCCACCTGCCCTGGAGACGTTTTCCCCATTGTCGTGATCATCAGCATTTGGCTTCTCCTTACTTATGTGCATTTCAGCAGCAGGCCTGAATTTTCCCCCATAAAATGGGTTTTTCTTTTCTATTGCGTCATCAGGCTACACATCTTCCAACTTTTTTTTTGTATATGTGCTGCTGAAGTGAGCACAAATCTTCCAAACTTTTATGTTCTGCTTCTTCCTGAATGCTTTGCCATCTAGAAATTTCTTTTATCAGATAACCTAAATCTTCTCTCTCAAGTCCAAAGTTTCACAGATCTTTAGGGCAGGGGCAAAATGCCACCAGTCTCTTTGCTAAAGCATAGCTAAAATCACCTTTGCTCCAGTTCCCAGTAAGTTCCTCATCTCCATCTGAGACCTCCTCAGCCTGGACTTTTTGGACAAAACCATTCAACAAGTTTCTAAAAAGCTCCAAACTTTCCCGTATCTTCCTGTCTTCTTCTGAGCCCTCCAGACTGTTCCAACCTCTGCCTGTTACCCAGTTCCAAAGTCACTTCCACATTTTCGGGGATCTTAATAGCAGTAACCCACTCTACTGGTACCAATTTACTATATTAGTCCATTCTAACAGTGCTAATAAAGACATAACCAACACGGAGTAATTTATAAAGAAAAAGAGGTTTAATGGACCCACAGTTCCAAATGGCTGAGAAGGCCTCGCTACCATGGCAGGAGGTGAAGGAGGGGCAGAAGCATATCTTACATACCAGCAGGCAAGAGAGCATGTGCAGGTGAACTGCCCTTCATTTAACCGTCAGGTCTCATGAGACTTCCACTATCCAAAGAACAGCACAGGAAAAACCCACTCCCATGATTCAATTACCTCCCACCGGGTCCCTCCCACGACACATGGGGATTACAGGAGCTACAATTCAATATGAGATTTGGGTGGGGATACAGCCAAATGATATCAGGCTGCTATAGCAAAATACAATAGAATGGGTGGCTTATAAACAACAGAAAATTTATTTCTCACAGTTGTGGAGGCTGCAGAATCCCAAAGCAAGGCACTAGCAGATTTGGTGTCTGGTGAGGGCCTGCCTCCTGATTCATAGACGGCACCAACTGACTGTGTCATCAGAAGATGGAAGAGGGCAGGTGACTTTGGGGCCTCATTTATTGGAAGCACTAATCCCATTCAGCGCCCTCATTACACAATCACCTACCAAAGGCCCAAACTCCAACATCATCACACTGATGATCAGGTTTCAACATTCAGAGTTTGGGGGAAAACAAACATTCAGATCACAGCAGTAGCTGCCTTCAGCAGTCTGCCACAAGAGTAGGCTGGGTTTCTTGGAGGAAAGTTTAGGCTGCTAATAGGTGTCCTTCAGAAGAAGTTGCTACCTCTGTGAGTAAGTAGTCCCATGGATGTTTGGTTTGGCAAGAAGCCATAGCTGCTTGCCAAGATTAGGTAAAGGTTCCTATACACAAACTGGTTGGCTTAAATTACAGAAATGTATCATCTAACACTTCTGGAGGCTAGAAGTCTGTGGTCAAGCTGGCAGTGTTGGTTTCTTCTGAGGGCAGTGGGAGAGAATCTGTTCCATGCCTCTTTCCTAGCACCAGGTAGCCTCTAGCCTAAGGCATCCTTGGCTTATATATGATATTCTCTCCATGTCTTTACATCCTTTTCTTTTTTTACTTGATTATATTTGTGCCCAAATTTCCCTTTTATAAGGCTGTCAATAATACCGGATTAGTGCCCGCTCTATAGTGACTTCATCTTAATTGTCTACAAAAACCTCTTTCCAGGTAAGATCACATTCATAGTTACTGGGGGGTTAGGATGGAAGTCCCGCCACAGGACTTCAAGATCTTTTTGGAGGATACAATTCAACTGATTGCCAGTCCTCAGTACAACTCTCTAATCAGCTGCAGCAGCCCTGGGGCAACCTGCAGCTCTATGTCCCATATACTTTGTAAATGAGAGGTTATAATTTATGGTGTTTTTTTGTTTTTTGGGTTTTTTTCCCTGACAAAATCGAAGACATTTTGAGCTCCTTTAGCTCCTATACAGCAAAAGGAACCAGTTTTCTTACCCAATGCAATCAAGGAAGGAGCTTTGGAGTTTTACAATAAATTGGGAGGATCTCAAATTTCTAGTGAGTAGTGCCTCTGAGGCCTCTAAGAACCTAAATTAAATACTTCATGAAAGACATTGTTAACAAATAAGCTAGCTAGAATATAAAAACAATTAACTCTAATCCATGACAAGCATGGCTGGCATATTAGTTACCACAGTGAAAATTATACTAGGCTCATTATTCATTAGGATACTTGGTTGGAGAAAAATATATTCTGTAAACACAGACATTATCAGAAGGGTATTAGTTTGCTCCCCAAATCAAGCAACTTGGAAAGCTATCCTAGAAAATGGATAGCAAGGTAAGTGAGGCATGGCTAAAATGCCACGGCAAGAACAGTCTTAGTACACAGCCCTGGTGCTGCAGGTCCCAGACTAAGGCCTGGAGAGCTGCTGGGATCATCTTTGTCAGCTAAAACCCAGAAAGACATTTGACTATTCTTGTGCCTTGGTATGTTGCCTACATAGAGACGGGAACATCTAAATTGCTGAGCCTGGTTCAAGCCCAAGTTCATAAAGATAGAAGGCTGACTGAGGAATGAACTCCAGCCTTTTGGTTTCTGATACAGTTTGGATATGTGTCCCCACCCAAATCTCATGTTGAATTATAATCCCGAGCATTGGAGGTGGGGCCTAGTAGGAGGTGACTAGATTATGGAAGTAGATTTCTCATAAATGGTTTAGTACCATCCCCTTGGTACTGTTCTCGTGACAGTAAGTTCTCATAAAAACTGGTCATTTCAAAGTGTGTGGCAACTCCCTGCTCTCTCTCCTGCTCCTGCTCTGGCCATGTGATGTGTCTGCTCCCCCTTTGCCTTCTGTCCTAAGTTTCTTGAGACCTCCCCAGAAGCAAAGCAGATGCCACCACCATACTTCCTATACCGCCTGCATAATCATGAGCCAACTAAACCCGGTTTTCTTTAAAAATTACCAAGAAATGGCCCCTATTAAAATGAATATGAATTCATGTACAAAACATATTAAAAAAAAAAAGTTAAAAACAAAAAAAATCACCTTCTAAGTCTTCCTTAAAAACTACACTTT